CCCCAAACACTGTCGCCTTAGAACCTATTCCGCGCAACCCTCGCCCCCTGGACCCCGAACCCCGAAACCCGAAACCCTAAACCCTAAACCCTAAACCCTAAACCCTAAACCCCGAACCCCAAAACCCAAAAAACCTGAAGCCTAGACACTAAATCCTCGGCCCCGGTCGGTTGGACCGATTTTAGAGCTCGCGCGCTCCGCATTGCTCTGCGACGTCGGCGGCTTGTCCAAAAGTCCTTGCGGCGCCTGGCGGGCGCACGCGGTTTAGGGTTTAGGGTTTAGGGCCTGATGTGGGGGCCTTAATGATTGAAATAGGGTTTCGGGGTCCTTTATAGTATAATTCATTATAATTCTAACAAGGAGCCGCCCAAAAATAGTAGAGGTAATTATTCAAACCCGGGATTCGGGCGGTTCGGAGGTCCAGGGTCCAAGTGTTAAGGTGCTTGGAACGGGTTTGGCAGGTCTGAGCGTTTCGGGGCTTCGTCAAAACCGAATATAGCCCAAACATGACCCGAGAATCCCCTCTCAAACCCCATAACCCCTTAAAAAACCCTTTGAGAGTTTCTCAACCTATGGGTAAAGGGTCGAGCAGTCTGGGCTTCATGGATTTAGCAAGTGGTACTCCGGATTTAGACTTGCTGCTATAGTGTCACAACTAATCTCAGAACAGGAACACCCAAATATGCACTCACCAATGTTCGCAAGGAGCCCTGTGTGCACTTACCAACCCGTAATTCAAAAACAGCTTTGCCGTTAAGCGTCAGGGTTCTAGCTAGAGGCTTGGCTTCCCTATGCATGTCGCTCCGGGTGCTGCCCCAATACCTGGACCCAAAGTTACCCATCTTCTTACGGACTGTTCTCAGGAAATCATCGAAAGGATCCCCCAAAAAGATAGGTTTAGGGTCCAGGTGATCTGTAAAGCATAAGCGCGAAATTCCTGTCCCTAAACCTCAAATCCTAAACCCCAGTTCTAAACCCCTCTATACACCAGTCTTGCTTTGAAAAGATCTTACTCCGGTATCGCATTGTGCTTGAGGCTTTCGAGTTTGGGGCTTTGGGCTTTTCTGGTTAAGGCCTTCGGGGCTTGCGGTTTATAGAATTTCGGGCTTGAAGGGTCTCGGACTTTTAGGGAATGATGCCATAAATAAACTGAAACCCAGGAAGTTCTAACCTTGCTCGCTTTTGGCACTACTGGTAGCACTTTGGCACCAATCCACCCAGCAATTGCCAATGCTCCGGCGTCATGGCAGTGATGTCTACAGTGCAAATAGGCTTCGAACCAGATCGCGCCCTCTGTGCTCCTGAAAGTCTGAGGATAAGGCTTTGGGTTTTGGGTTTAGGGTTTAGGTTTTAGGGTTTAGAGTTTAGGGCGTAGGGTTTATGGTTTTGGTTTTGGGTCCATGTGCTAGGGTTGGTTTAGCTAAACCCTTGGTAGGCTGTTACATGACACCCAGGATCAGGAAATCTCGGTCTCCTGTTCGAGCAAACCATGTCTGCGTCTCGCTCTCAAACAGCCCGTCCAGAATTTCGCACTTTTGGGGAAGCTGCTTTGCCTGGTTGGATTACAGCACCCCGCGCCCGAGCCCCAACCCCTCAACCCTAAACCCACTCTTAAAGCCCGAAATATAAAAAAAAAACACTCACTACTACTTATAAACCTTCCCGGGCGGTGATTTAGGAATCTGGGTTCTAGTTGAATGGTTACTGATTGAGGCTTGCCCGAAGTATCCCGATGTCATAAACCACTAATTGGAAACCCTCAAGCCCTTAAACTTGCGCCCCCGAACACGAACCCAAAACCCTGAAACCCTAAGGGTTGAAAAACCCTGAAACCTTTAGGGTTTAAGGCTTAAGACACCAAAAACAAAACTTTAAAGACAGTATCCAGCTGCAAGCTCGGCCACCGCTGGGTTGTTGTAAGCAATCAAGACCTTGGGCACTGCAGTTTTCCAAAGGACACATGGAGGCCGGCACAGAGGTTTCAATGGTCTTTACAAAGTCGACATAAGGATGGTCCCAAGGATCTGATTGTTGTATCAGGGATGCGTAAAGATTTCCTAGGTGTTTTCATACCCATGCCAACCCGCAGCTTCCTATACCAGAATATGGCCAAGGGGTTGTTGTTTTCCCTTGGCGCGTAGATCCAAACAAGGAGCCCTCAGATAATAGTAACCCGTACAGGTCCCGCTAAGCAAGGAACCTCTAAGATACTGGGAACCCCAATATGATAGCGACCCTTATAGATCCTTTTAAGCAAGGTGCCCTACGATATCCTGCGACGCTAGTCATACTTGCAACCCTTATAATGATCCTCTTACACACGGGATCGCCTCACAGATACTACTGGTCGCAACCCTGATAGATTCTGTTAAGCAAGGAGCCCTAACATAACAGCAACCATTATCGATCCTGGTAAGCTGGAACGAGCCAAAAGCCGCAGGGTTTTGGCTGGTTCGAATTCCGCGGCGATCCGGACCTTCCGTTCACTGGGATGTTGTTATGGATTTAATTTGAGTTACCATAATAGGGATCTACAGGAAATAAGTAAACAATATGGTTTCTTTATTATGGTAACTTCTTGTGGTCTGGTGAGGGTGAGGGTCAGGGATTAGGGTTTTGGGTTTAGGTGTAGTAAAGGAGGCACGAGACCGTAAACCCTGAACCACAACCCCTACAACGCCCTAACCGCTAAAAGCGGAAATGGATGTAGCCCTGGCTTAAATGAATGCACAAGACTCCCGAACCACCTTAAGAAAGCCCTACATAAGCCTAAGTAACCAACATACTCAAGCCCCAAAACCCAAGGAGTAGAAGTGGTGTCTTCATTAACCATAACACACTTAACGCTTGCAACTCTAACTGCCCACGAAACGTCACCGAAACTCTGGACCTCAAAAAATTGCATTTTTGCCCTAGACCCCAAAACCCCAAAACCAAAACCGATAACCCTAGAAGCCTTAAGCCCTAAACCCCAATACCAAGCCCGATAACCCTTGAACCTGAAAGCCCTCAACCCCTAAGCTCAGAAACCGTGGCTCCCTAACTCTCCAAGCCCGCAAAAACTCGCCATCTTGGCCCAACTGATTTTGAAAGTCCCTACTAACCTATATATTATACATTATATTGCAGTAGGAATACAACTAAGTAGCAGTCATAAACAAAATTGAATTGATGACCTACAGAACCCTGATCGAACCCATATCATATATGTATGCGGACGTTGTTTATATTTGCTTATTCATCTGTTTATGTACTTGACAAAGCCTTCCCAAACCCCCAAACCCAAAAGCCAAACCCCACTTTAACCCCTAAGCCCCCAAACACACCCGAGGCGCCCCTAATGGGTTGGACTGAACTCCTCGTTTCCGCAGGTCCACCACTGGCCAAGGCTGGCAGGGAGCCGTTCCGTTCAGGGCAGCACGCCTCGGGTTAAGGGTTTAGAGGTTTGTAGGTTTAGGGGTTTAGGATTCAGGGTTACACCAAAATCCTAAACGCGAAACCACTCAATCCTAAGGTAGGGGGTTTGGGGATGGCTTCTCTAGTGGTTTGAGGGGGTTCTTTTCTGGTCCATTTCGGTGGTCCACGATAGGGTTTTTAGGGCTTTTGATCACTACTGTACATTAGAAAAGGCAACAAACCTTGAAGGGAGCTAATCTGAGTACAGTAAACCCTAAACCGTTCTCTGCCGGTGCTCTTCTCAGAAGGGAGATGAGGAGAGTTCCGCTACATGCAAACCCTAACCGAAGTTGATGAGTTCTTGCCCAAGCCTGGCTGTGTAGTATATCCGTGCCAGCCGCACCACGTCGATAGCTGCATGGAGTGGGGATTTGTTGACTGTCTTCGGACTCGGAACAGATTCCTTGCACCGATGCCACGGCTCGCCAGTCAGTCGGAGAGTGGCGTTGCAGATGAAGAAGGCGGGAAGACTACTGCCCACCTCCTCCAAGTAATCCTTGGCTCCCTTGTCACAGAAGGGGCCTTAACGACTAGAGTCTTGACTCTTCAAAAAAAACAGGAAATGGTACTACTGGGGGACCTAGCATCGTATGACACGGCATCCACCCTTCCCGGAAACTCCTCGTTCAGTTTGTTGAGAATCTGCAGCTGCGGGTCGGAATCTCCCCGAAGGTCCGGCGCGCGCTGGCCGGCAAAGAGCGCCGTAAACGACTCAAAGCTTCGCGGGGCACCTCGGTCAAGAAGAGGAAGAAGAACAGCAAGAAGAATAATAATAAGTAGGAGCACAGATTAACGAAAAGAACGGTCATGACAAAAAACATCTTAGCTACAAAGCGTCATCACAGTAACCATAATCGCAGACCCCCGTAGACTCATGTATCTGCTCGGGCTATGGCCAGGCACACGAAAGACTCGAGCCAAGCGGCTGAGAAGCTTGCTGGTCTCTGCCCATACCGATGCCATCCATGCCGGGGCATTCCGGTGCACGACCACCACACTGAAGCAAGCCCCTGATCCCACGAGGGACTTAAAGCATTGCCAGGATGTGCTGGTAAACGTAGGTCGAGCAAATTCCTCACTGGACACGACCTGCGTGCGTAGTGTGTAAGGTTGTGACTTAATATGTTGGTCTAAAAATTCTTTTAGCAAATAATTTTTTTGTATGATTTAAATGTGGTTTCACTATGGCCGGTCATTTATGGAACTGGAAAGTGGCTCCTGGCAGACTATGATTCCACTATGATTTCACTATGATTTCAGTTGCCTTTGTATTATATTGCAATGTATTCTATTATAATATATTTTACTATGCGGTTCTTGAGTTATTTGGAAAACCCATAAAATTGTCATAAAATTTTCATAGAAATTTCATACATTTTGCATAAATTTTTCAGAGTTCCGATTAGATTTTTTCATAAAAAATCATAGTAGAATCATAGTAGAATCATAGTAGAATCATAGTTAAATCATATCATAAATTTTTCATAAATGCAAATCATAACCGAATCATAAATAAATCATAAAAATAATTATTTAACATCATGATTTTTTAACAACATTTAAAGTCACAAGTGTAAGGGTCATAAAGTTTTCCCAAAGTCTCTTCAGGTCTTGTGGCCACAGCTTCTGTTGATCCCCTTAAGAATAAGAGCTCCTGAACCTTCTAAACCACCCCGAAGCAACATAAAACCCTACGATATGGAAGTCTTCTACATTCATCACAAAGAGCACCCTACACCTTAAATCCTAAACCCTAAACCCACTAAGGAGAGCACCACGAGAGATCGTTTCTGCAGCTTGCTCTTGATGTACTGAACCGACTCAGTGACCTTCTCTGCATTCCTGGGCTCTTGTTGAGGAACTTCACGTTAAGAGATAGAGGTTAGGTAGGGGATCGTGACTTAAAGCTACTATGACAGGGCAGGCACAGGATCTACGGCTCCGGCGCAGTTCGATAAAAACTAGCTTCAATGAAGATCTTGAGCATGAACCGAGATTCTGCTTAGGTTCGCACTTGTCCTTCTCAACTCTGTTCTCTTCGCAGAGGGGTATAGCAAGATCATAGGCAGCAGCCTTCGATTGACGAAAGCCCACGCCGATTCCCCACTCCTCTTCAAGCCACGTCGCCCTTTGCACCAAGAAGTCCTGCAAGGCACTCGTCCCCGTTTTGCCCGGTCCGACGTGCAGGATCAACCTGGGTCCCTGGCAGCTCGGGACCACAGGAGCTGGATCCGGAGATGAGAAGGATCCATCTGCCAGGCCTTCGCTGCGGCTCGAAGCCAGTCCATCCGAGGTCTCAGACACGGAAGCATTCCAGAAGGCGGCGGCGGAAATCGCCACGGCCAAGGCACCCAGAAGTAGTCCAGCATGGCGGCAGGAAGCCATCAGCAAAGCTTCTTCGCCATTGCCGGGAGGCTGAAACCATGCAGCTCGAGCATCCCACTCTCCTCCCCAGTTTGGAGGGTAAGGGGGGTTTAACGAGACGGGAGTTATTGAAAGTCTAAAGTTTAAATTAGGGTGGTGATTTTTGTACCTGGGATTACGAGTACCCGAATCGGGGCCGTTTAAATGCCAGCGAAGCCCTAAACCCCCCACCTAAAGCCAGCAACATCAATTGAGGCCCAAAAAACAGCAAACCCTAAAGCCCTACTACCGAGATAACTGTGATTAAGGTTTAGGGTTGAGGGTTGAGGGGTAGCTTACTTAGTACGGAAGTGCACGGTCCAATCGTCCAAGGAGGCCTTCTTCAGCCCCAAACTCTGCTTCGGCTTTAGAGAGTTGGGACGGTATGCTTCGGCCTGTAGGTTTAGGGTTTAGGGTTTAGGGTTTGGTTCGGCCTGTGGAGGTGATACGTAGTGGTGTATTAGAGTATAGTATGGTATGGAGTATAGTATAGTCTGCAGGGTTCATTACCTCGCTTAAAGTTCCGAGGTTTGGGCATGTGGGGTCAGGGTTTTGGTTGGGGGGTCTTCGATTTAAGAGGTTCGGGCTTCTTATCGTGCCCCTTGTAAGGGGCCCTTGAAGGAAGCCTAAACCCGAAACCCTAAACTCTAAACCCTAAGCCCTAAACCCCCTAAGCCCTAAACCCCTAAACCCTAAACCCCAAACTCTAAACCCCTGTGGCAACCATTATCTACGAAGGGACGTGCTGTCTCAAGGTGACCGTAGCCGTGATCCTACGCCATGCTCCGAGACAGGCCGAGCGGCAATAGAAGAAGCGGTTTAGGGTTTAGGGTTTAGGGCCTAAGCTCTTAAAAACCCTCAACCTTGAAACCCTTAATTCCGAAGCTCTCTAACCCCAGCCCTGAACTCCTAAGCCCTACTTGCTGTTGCTCATCCCGGGTTCTCACCGAGACATGACTGCCCGAAAGGCAATGTTGGTGCATGGCAGCTGTTGACGGCAATGAAGACGATGATCACGAGACGAGTGGTGGTCGTAAAATGAAAGCGTCAATGACAAAGGTGATGTTGATGATGAAGGGTTGACTCTTTGTGAGGGTTCGATGGCCAGAGAATCTTGCCCGGTTACTCCAGCATCTCCAAAGGGGACATGCTTCACAGCAGTAGGGAGGTCCGAAACCGCATATCCACAAAGCTTGGATCTCTAAACCCTTGGCCGGAAACCCTCAACCACAACCCCCCCACCCGAAACCATACAGAAAAGCAAAAACAAACAACGCAAACCTCCAACGCCCTAAGCACCCTAAGTGCTGAAGTTCAAAAATAGGCTTAAGCCCGAAAGGGTCTACAGAAGGCCCCCACGCCCCTAAATTCAAACCTGGAGCCGCACAGTATTTTTCCCCAAACCCAATAAACCCTATAAGCCCTACAAACCCCGAAAGCCCTGCAAGCCCTACAAACCCTGTAAATCTTATAGACTATACAACACAAAGCCTGTACAACCTATAAGCCCTGTACACTCCATAAGTCACTATACAATCTATAACCCCTATAAATCATATCAACAGCGCTAGAAGACAATAAAACCAGTCGAACCAATCACAAGAACATCATGGCTAATTATATCCGGCACTATCCGGGAATGGCACCCTGAACCCTAAACCCCTTTAAGAAGAATAGCCCTCGACAAATCCTGCAGCCTTCATCCCGTCGACAAGCGCAGAGAAGAAACGCCACCTTTGGGAGCTCTTTAGAATTTAGGGTTTAGGGTGTGGGCTGTGGGTTTGGGCTTTATGGGCTTATAGGGTTTCGGGTTTAGGGTCTTTTGCGGTTGCATTGTGCGTCTTTCGACTTTTCAGGTGCGGGAGCTTGAGGGTTTAGGTTTGTTGCTGTGGTTATGGTGCTGGTGGCAGCTTTATGTGGCTTAGGGTTTAAGGGCGTTGGGGGAGGGGTTAGGGCTTGGAGTGTGAAGTTTAGGATTTCGGGGTTGGGCTTGGCGTTTAGGGTTTAGGGATTAGGCTTTATAGGTCTTAGCGCTTGGGGTTTAGGATTTCGGAGTTAGGGTTCAGGGATCTGCCTTCCGCTGACCGAGGCATCGCGGGTTTTGACTCCCTAAACCCCAAGCCCTAAAAAACCCTAAACCCTAAACCCCAAACCCTAAAAAGGGCCCCTTATACCCTAAGCCCTAAGCCCAAACTTGGCAAGCTAAGTGTGGGCTTCTGAGTTTCTGCTAGGGTTTGGGGTTGAGGATGCAGGGTCTGCTGGGGCTTAGGGGTGTTGGGGAGAGTGTCGGGCTCAGGGGGTTTAGGGCTCAGGGTTTAGGGTATTACAGGGTTTAGGGTTTAGGGGTCTTAGGAAGAGTTTAGGGTCTAGGACTTTGGGGCTTTAGGGGGTTGGGGCTTAGCGTTGAGGATTTAGGGCTTACCTTAAACTACCAAAACCTACTTTTTTGTAGGGTCCCTATACATTCGGTATTAGGGTTTATAATAAGGACCTACAAAAAAGTAGGTTGTGGTAGTTCAAGGTAGGGTTTGTGTCAGATTGGCGCTTCAGGGCTTCTAGCGGTGTATGGTGCCAGTTGGGTCTGCTTGGAACGAGAATTCAGGAAACTGGAGGCAGTCATGCCCAAACCCTGAACCCTACACCCTAAACAATAAATTCCTTAAGCCTTAGGATGTAAGGATCCTGAATATGGTCTGAGGTATACCCCTCAATTCAGTTCTGAAACTCAGAATGAAACGCGTCGGACCCGTCGGATTCGAATCTACGAACCCTGGATAATATAGGGGCCTTCATAATTAGAATGGGGTTTTGGAGAATATTAGACTATAGTTGTAATCAGGAACCCGAGGATAATATAGGTAATTATCAAGGCCCCTATATTAGCGTCTCAGCCACCTAAGGGAAGTTCGGCAACAAACGCAGATGCTCGTGGAGTAGTGCGGTCCAGGGCATTAAACTTGACCTGATTGCAAAACCAAACGTGCAAACGGCATGGCCACCTCCTTCTAGGCTTCTGTGTGGCCACGATTTGTGTCCATGAAGACGGTTTCGGGCTCTCAGCGCTTTGTCCTTGCACATTGGCAAGGCTTGCCGAGGTTGTCCCATTTTCGAGCTCGTCTCATAAGTGACAGGCTGGAGCAAGCAAGCGTGCCCAGCCGAGAAAAGTTGACCTGTACATGTCCGCAGTCTTACTTGCAACCGTGTGGTTCTTGAAGCGGGCTACGTTTGATCCAGTCAGGGCAAGCGTGACTGCACTCCGCACATCGCTTCCAGTTGTGTAGCTGAAGTTTTGTACATCTTTGTCCCAAAGATCTATGAAGAGATCCACCTTGGAGCTCCCTCGCCACGAGATCCTCGGCACTGAATATGCGAAAGAAACGATTCGGCAGTGAAGGCTGGTTGCAACCACGATCATGGCCGTCGATATTATGGCGCAAATGTCCCAAATGTTCAGCCCCTCGAACACGAATACATTCAGGCTAGCATTCACCGCACTCACCTGGGTGGTTGTCAAAATTATGGTCCGTTTTTGGGTCCTCATTATAATACGGCACCTATTATTTAGGGTACCCCAAAAGGCACCATAATTTGGACGACTACCCACCTGCCATGCCAGATTTTGCAGTTGCTCAAGGCTGTCATGTCCGAAAGCCGCACCTGCACGAAAGAAAATGACGTCGGCCGACAGCTCCCCCGCCGACGAGGCAAGCCTGGGTTGCAGTTTTAGGGCCCTGAAAAGTATTTATGAATAGGTACCTCTTTAGAAACCATAAGGGAAATTTTAGAGTTTCCCAAATTGCCACCTAGAAGCTCACTGGCAAAGTTTGTCGGAAAGCCCATCTGCTTCATTTGTACAGCAATGTACGGTCTAGGAGTGACTGGAGCATGCGAGGAAATCCGGCCGTCAAACAAGCTGCGCAGCACTACAACACTGTCAGGGGCCAAGTGCTTCCACGTCATGTTGCCGATCGGATTCCGGGTACTGCAGAAATCATACTCCTGCAGGAGAGGGTCAGTGTCACCAGTGGGTGTGCCTCCAATCGTGTTTGTAATGAACTTGCCGGGCTTCTTGAGGAAGCTTTTGGGCAGGATGTATGCAAGCGGTGCTTCTGCCTTGAACTTGATCCAGTGCGATGCGTTCATGGTAAGCTCATCCAGCTTCATCTGCTCAGCACCATTCCCATTTACAAGCATGTCAAGCGCACCCCGGACAGAACAAGATGCAGTCTCTCCTGGGTCTGTCACGAAGAAAAACGGATCCCACTTGAGTTTAGAAACTCAACCCACAAAAAAGGCATGGAAGGATCCCTCACTTTGACATAGTTTGACCAAGACTCCACCAAGAGCAACAACATTGATGATTGTGTTGGAAAACTTTGGCTCGGCGAAAGACACCACACTCTGCACGTTGTGGCCGACCCATGCCCGCAAGTCACGTGCCAAAAGATCAGCGAAAACCAGGTCACCATCCTCCACAGCACAATGCTGGCGCAGCAGCTCGGCTGCCACATGTGCCATGAGCAAGTCCCCAAAGTTGTGCCGACCGATTGCACCAAACAGAACCGTTATCGGCTTCGTAGTCTCTTTTCCGTCAAAGCTGAATGGAGCACTCCTGCCTGAAAGCATCCCTGCGCAAGTGCATGCGAGACTAAGTCCCAGTGGCCAAGCAATGCACCTGCGAAACCTGGGCTCTTGTTAAAAACCTTAGTTAACGGTTTAGGGTTTAGGGTTTAGGGTTTAGGGTTTAGGGGTTTAGGGGTTTAGGGGTTTAGGGTTCAGGGTTTAGGGTTTAGGGTACCTTAGTTAAAGCTATCAAAGTAGGGATCTATAGTACATAATGTGGTAACGCTGAACCGTGAACTTAGTTTAAGCTACCATACTAGGGATCTACCGTAGATTCGGCAGACAGTATGGTGTCCTGACTCTGGCAACTGAACTTAGTTTAAGCTACCTGACTAGGGATGTATAAAAGACAATATGGTACCCTTAAATCCCTAAACTTACCCTAATCCCCTTCAAAAACCCTACAAGCCAAATCAAAACTAAGAAGAACCCAGAAACGGCACGCGGATGCCACTTTCCGGGCAGACATAGCCCCAAGCGCCCAAGGTGGCAACCGCCACTCCAAGCCTGGATTCTTCTTGCAGTTAGGGTTCAGGGTTTAGGGTTTAGGGTTTAGGGTTCAGGAACTCATACTTTGACATTCCATAATAAGGCTTCAAGCTTAGGGTTTTGGGTTGCGGGCGTTGTGCCTTCCAGAATGCTGCCGCAGAAATCACCGCCGCCGAACTCCCCAGTAGCAGTGCAGAAGCCCGGCGACACATCATCAGCAAAGCATCATCGCCATTGCCGAGAGGCCCACCGATTCTCACAGAGCAAGCGGCTTGGAGTTTTCGGGCTTCGGCTGTTTAGGGTTTAGGGTTTAAGGGTTTAGGGTTTAGGGTTTTGAACTTCGCCGCGATCATGAGCTGGGAGGCGGGCGGCTGCTCATTGAGACTACCCACGCCCCACACCCCAGACTCTGACAGCGCCGAAGCCCTAAACCCTAAACGCTGAACCCAAAGCCCTGAACCTCACACCGAAAGCGCTCAGGCCCTGAACCCTCAGAAGTTAAGGCTTTAGGGTCTAAAGCCTTAATCTATTCTAAACAGCTAACCTACTTGCGACGGAGACCTAAGCCCTAAACCCGAAACCCTAAAGCGTCGGGATCCAAAAGCTGCATAGCTTGACCAAGTGCGTATCTAAACCCGTACAGCAGCAGGACTACCAATTATTGGTGGCTCTAGCTTTGGGACCCTTTAAGGGTTTAGGGTTTAGGACATAGGCCCCTGTGAATGAGAATGCCATTCCTCTGAAACCCTACACATGCCTCAAAAAGGCCGAAACCTCCCCGTCTTTATCCCTCGAAGGGCTTGAAGCCCTAAACGCGAGGCCCAACCCCGAATAACCCCTTCGATGCCCTAAACCCCTTCCGAACCCTTTGGTGGTGGTGGTGGTGGTGGTGGTGGTGGTGGTGGTGGTGGTGGTGGTGGTGGTTGTGGTGGTGGTGGTGGTGGTGGTGGTGGTGGTTGCAATGATACAATGGAGTATTTCTCTGAATTAGGGTCCCCTTTTTAGGTCCCCAATATAGTATATAAACAGGACCATGAATTATGATTTAGGGGG